AATCGGAAGTGATACTATCCTTGTTGATTTTGCAAAATCTGGTTTGCTGTTTTTGTAAAGTTCGGCACAAGGATGAAGTCAGGGGGGCTCTCTTCGGCAGGCAATTACGTGGGGTGTATCACGACCGTTGACTGTGACGAATTCTTTGCCGTCTCTCTCCAGGCTCCGTCTAACGAACTCGCAAAACGAATTCGTATTTATTGACATTCGCTCAAACTTGCGCGAGGCCGGGCGTATAAGGGGATTTCGGTAAATCCTCTTTGTTGCCAGCTTACTTCATAATTCTGGGGAATTTACTTCTTCCACTCTCTCATATTATTACCTCTCACTAAATCTCTTTAGTGGGCGTGAGTGGCTTATCCACCCCCTCCTGGTATTTCAACTCAGCTTACAACCGGGATAAATCAACTCCAAATTTGTTGTTTACGAAAATGCTTTACAGCTTGTATTTTCAGCTGCGTAGATCACATGTCAGTCATCATAGACCCCTAAGTCTGGGTCACTTTTTCAATGTTCAAACTGCTCGACACACAATTCAAGTCGTTTATGTGTGAATTATAATCCTCAATTCTTCACACGGGTTTTTGGTAGTAACCCTTCTCGTTTCGATGTTTCTCAGCACATAACATTTTCTTATGTTTTAACAAAACGTTCTTTTGTTTTACCGCGGCAACGACAAATAATATATATGCTACAAAGTATTAAATAGTTATTATAATGGCGTACAAATATTTTTTCGGCGTTCATTTTTTAAAAATTTCATTAATATAACAAATTTTATACCACAGTATACAAATACTGTATGAATTATAAAATTCTTTTATAAAATTTATGTTAAATAAAAAATTCACGGTGTACAGATTTTTCTTTCCACCCACTGTATATATATATATATATATATATATATATATATATATATATATATATATACAATACATGCAAATATCGAGTATCCAATCGTGAAGAAATTATTTCACAATATTTGTTCCGATTTTGCGTCTTTGGAAAAAGCCATCAATAGAAAATAATTTCATTGTTTGTTGTCCGGCAAATGGTGTATACCTCTATCATGAATATGTTTTGTTTCTGTCGAGTCGCTCTCGGCTTCATTTTGTCCATGTGCAGCTTTTATTCAGACATTTCGAAAGCGGCCAGAATACAAACTTCTGGGAAATAATATTGACTTCAAATTTGTTTTTATTTTCGTGTGTTTATCACCAGGCATATTTCAGTTTTAAAGTAAACGTTTTTAAATTTTTGTAGCAGAAATTTCTGAGATATAATTAGGAAGGAAGGATTGAAAAAATGACACTCACCAGAAACATCGATGGCAAAAGAGAGCGGGAGAATCAGCCGGTCAATTACATGATGAGCTTATGTGAATTGATGGCAGAACGGGAGTCGGAGAGATGGTAAAATGACAAATATTATTAAGAGCTATAAAGTCTAGTTGTATAAAGCCATGGTCACCTATGTCCTGAAGAGACACGACATATAGAAGAAGTCATATATAAATGATATTAATGGCATCATTCACTGTTTTTTTTTCTGTTTGTAATAATCACCTTAGAATTATTTTGTTTCATGAAATTATATTTCTGCGAAATGAGAAAAGAATCATCTACCCTTGTACTAGGCGTCTTAAAATCATGTAGGGATTTCATCATCATCATCATCATCATCATCATCAGTCCTACGACTGCTTCGCTCGTCAGGAGCATCTGAGGGCAGATGAAACAAAACAGCCCTCCAGGCTGATTTATTGGCGGTGGACCTAAGGTGTTCCGGCATCGCCATGTCCGTACACTCTTTGATGGTGTCTGACCAGCACTTGCGTTGCCGTTCCCCGCTAGTCTCTGCCTTCAAAAGTGCCTTGCATGATAGCCATGCAGAGGCTGTCATGCCGTGTGACGTGGCCAAACCATGCCATCTTTCGACGCTTAATTGGCCCACAAGACTTTCGACATTGTTCCGTACATAGTCGTTGGTTTTGTATTCTCGGAAGTGGAAGAGCTTTCTCACGCATTTTTTTCTCGAACTTCTGGATCATTTTCCTGTCTCAGTCAAGAATTTTCAAGTCCCACACGTGCAGGGGAGGATGGATACGACAAACGATTTGTAGAGCCTGAAGTTGGTCTGGAAGCTGATGTTGTTCCATATTCTTTCCAGCCTAGCCATTGTTGTCGTGTCTGTGGAAATCCGTGTGCGGATTTCTGCATTGCAGGTGCCATTTCTTGACAGAGTTGCGCCCAAGTATTTGAAGATTGGCACTTCTTCCAATGGTTTGCCGTCCATAGTGACGCTGGCACTGATATTGTTTGTGCTATTCACCATTACTTTGGGTTTCTCTGTGTTGAATTCCATTCCATATACGACTGTTTGTAATATAATACATTTTGATTTTAATTTAAAGCATTTCTTTTTAACATTTAACATTATTAGTGAGAACAAGAAAAGGACAGGAATTAAGAAGGCACAAGATAACGACTGACATTGCATTTAATTTTTTTCAAGGTCAAAGTTGATTGTGAAGGAAGAAACCGGAGAAACTGAAATTGGGATGAGGGACGGTTGGTCTTCATACGTCTTAGTTCTGTACTTAGTTAGCCTGAATCACGAATCCAAACATACCACAATATTCCTTACAACAAATATTTACTAATCATTCTCACTAAAGTGACCTATGTGTCTCTATGAAGTCCTAACTCCTTCCCGTATGTACAATTTGTCTATGGGGTTGGGGAATAAAATTAACAACTTTTAAAAATGTAAATCCAATGTGTAGTGTATAGAATACTATATAAAATAAAAATAAAAACAAAAGTGTTAGTAATATAAGTCCCCCCAATCCTTAATTGTCGTAGAAACATCAGTTAACAGGACGAAATTAATCCGTGACTAAATAATTACTAGAGAGGAAATTCCATTAGAACAATTACCATAAAAGTATTTATAAAAAATGGTAAATAGAAGCTAATTTAAGGTGGGGAGAAAGTGACTGAAGCCGAGATGCCAGGTCCGGATCAGTAATATTGTATATTATTTTTTAGATTTTATCAAGAATCTCTAAATATATATCATGAGCATCGGACCACATATGGCAGCAATATTCAAAGCATAGACGAATGATACACGTATAAATATGTATGGTAGATTCTAAAGAAAAATTAAAACAAAAAACTCTATTCGTTCAAGATTAGAATCCTGAGTATCATGCCCGTTGTAGCAACAGGACATTAGTCATTATTATTATTATTATTATTATTATTATTATTATTATTATTACCTCAAGCATGTAATTTAACGACCAGGTGCGGGTCATAACAATCGACATAGGTAATGTTATTTTAGCAACTATTTCTATCTAGAAAACCCTTTTCAAAATATAGAATTCGTGTTTTTCTTATTATTATTGATGTGTCCATACAATGTTATACTCGCATAACGTTATTGTTTTGTAATAATATACATTAATTCATATTGCAGAAAATAATGTAGAATGACTCTGTACGCCATTATTCGAATAGATGCAGAATTTGATCAGAAGCAGATAGACACAGTTGGAAAACTTGCTATAGTTGTGCCCACTGGGCAACCCCACAGATAATGTGTACACACATACAGAAACAACGATTACTGCATATATCCATTTTAGTGGCAAAGTTGGCAAAATGTGAGGTTGTGTTGAAAAAAAGAAAAAATGTCTTGCTCCCTTACGTGGGACGTGGCTTGCACACGCGCCTCACTCAGATGCAAACGCATGAAAATATTAGTTTTAAAATCTCTATGCATTCGTAATTGGATAGCAAGATTGGATTGGGCCTGTTGCAAATTGGTTCAGCGTCTCGTAGCTGACAAGTTTTGATTTGATAACAGAAGCAATTGCGGTTTGCTTCGGCGATAGTTATATAGACGGCTTAGTACTGACAGGAATAGAAAAAAAGTGAGTGAGTGAGTGAGAGAGAGTGTGTGTGTATGATGAGAGGAGGAGGAGAATAATGAGCTGTTTATATGTATTGTAAGTATCTATATAGAGAAAAGAAATAAAAGTAAACAAAGATGACGTTATGGATAAAGAAGAAGAAGAAGAAGAAGAAGAAGAAGAAGAGAGAGAGAGAGAGAGAAACAGAGTGAGAGAGATAATGAGAAACCGAAAGAATGAGAAAGAGGTTGAAGAAAAAGGGGAGAACAAAATGAAATAGGCAGAGAAAATGAACTTTATAAATAATGAAAGCTGAGAGGACGTGAGAAGTTGGCAAAAGATGGCATGAAAAGGAAAAGGAAGAGAGAGAGAGAGAGAGAGAGAGAGAGAGGAGAAAAAGAAATAAGTAGATAGATAGATAGATAGATAGAGCATTTGAGACAGAAGAAGAAAAATAAAATAAAAAATAAATACAAGTGGAGAGAAATGGGGTGATGTGTAAGATGAAAAAGAAGAGAAGAAAATTAGAAAGAGGAAGACAGAGCGAGAGAGAACGAAAGGATAAGAAAAGAGGAAATAGAAAGAATAAGCGAAAAAAAGAAGAGGATAAAGAGAAGTGAGAGTTGCAAAAGATAAAAAACATAAAAGAAAGAAACAAGAAAAATAAAAGAAAGATAGAGAGAGAGAGAGGTGGGCTGCAGCTTCTTCGTTTTCATTGTAAAGAATGAAAAGGAAGAAGACCAGAGGAAAAATGAAGAAACGTACATTCAAGGCATCGAAAGTAAATGCGAAGGTGGATTTCGATTTGTAGAATACCTGCGGTGTTTGCATCTGATGTACGATTTTAGCCAGCCATATCCGTTGGTGTAGAGAGAGAAATTAATAGTAGAAATTGAATGAAAAGTCAGAGATTCATGCCATAATATTCAGGATTTGATATCTGGTTTTCATAAGGATTTCTGCATCGACTGTTCTGTGATATGTCCAGCGAAGTTGATTAGTTAAGACTTCCGTTGACAGACACAGACGCACACATTATGATAAAGACTTTCTATTGTGAGTGAGGATTACAAAACTAATGTTAGACTGTGCACAAAGTTAGAGGGTGGGGGATGAACAAAATAACAGACAAAGTCACACTTAACATTCAACAAAATCACTGTTAATTTAAAGCGTGGTCGACAACAGTAGAAATTTATTGACTGGAATCAATCAGATCAAGTTAAAAGACTAATCCATAAAGACTGAAGAGAATGAAAGATCAAAATGAGGCGTGAGTTTTAGTCTGCCAATTTTGCTCTTACTGTTAAATCGTTCTATCTCTGTTCGGTTCAATGCAGTCTATCTATCTATCTATCTATCTCGGTCTGTTCATTACATATTTAACTATCTATCTAATATAGGTCTATATCTAACTAACTAACTAATCTCGGTCTATTCATTATGTATGTATGTATCTATCTATCTATTTAACTAGTTATCTACTTATCAAATCTCTGTTCATATATATCTAACTATATATCAAATCTGAATCTGTTCATATGTATGTATGTATGTCCGTACGCACGTATCAGATAGATAGATACGTGCGTACGGACATACATACATACATATGAACAGATTCAGATTTGATATATAGTTAGATATATATGAACAGAGATTTGATAAGTAGATAACTAGTTAAATAGATAGATAGATACATACATACATAATGAATAGACCGAGATTAGTTAGTTAGTTAGATATAGACCTATATTAGATAGATAGTTAAATATGTAATGAACAGACCGAGATAGATAGATAGATAGATAGACTGCATTGAACCGAACAGAGATAGAACGATTTAACAGTAAGAGCAAAATTGGCAGACTAAAACTCACGCCTCATTTTGATCTTTCATTCTCTTCAGTCTTTATGGATTAGTCTTTTAACTTGATCTGATTGATTCCAGTCAATAAATTTCTACTGTTGTCGACCACGCTTTAAATTAACAGTGATTTTGTTCAATGTTAAGTGTGACTTTGTCTGTTATTTTGTTCATCCCCCACCCTCTAACTTTGTGCACAGTCTAACATTAGTTTTGTAATCCTCACTCACAATAGAAAGTCTTTATCATAATGTGTGCGTCTGTGTCTGTCAACGGAAGTCTTAACTAATCAACTTCGCTGGACATATCACAGAACAGTCGATGCAGAAATCCTTATGAAAACCAGATATCAAATCCTGAATATTATGGCATGAATCTCTGACTATCTATCTATCTATCTATCTATCTATTAAATATCGATCTGGGAATTATCTATGTAACTATATATCGGTCCGGTCACTCTGGGCGGGATATGTGAACGTGGACTCGAAAGTGGCCATCTACCCAGGTAGCCAGCTACCTTGATAGGATGTTAGGGAGAAGGGCCAATATAGTCTTGCTAGATTGTCCCACGTTCCACTGGTTAGGCTATTCGGACCATAGATTCGTCTGTGCTCAGAGAGCGCTAGATGCTTGGCCTAAAATGTCTGGACACTGTCTTTACTGGACAGGCGGGACTTTTAGCAACAGCTAATCAGACTAGAACAGCGGGGAAAAGTGGGGGCGGTTATTAAGAATAGGTGGCAGGAGAGGCTTAAGGATAGGATTAGGTCCTTCACCACGGAATATAGCCAGCGGCTCGCTCTAGATAAGGCTAAAAATGTGAAGACGCTTAAAGATAGTCTGTCTGTTATTTTCTGTTTTACATTTTGTTTGTATTGGGATTTAGAACCCTCCCCTCATTTCATATCATCTTCAGATATATATATATATATATATATATATATATATATATATAATTATTTATTTAAAAATATGATTCCAAATCGCGACATAAGAAGTCTTTTGTTTCTAAACAAGAGCCGAAAACTTCAATATAATTATTTGAATTAAATTGAGTTAAAATAAGCTCTGTTCCATCTTCAAGCGAAATTTTTTTTGAATAACGTATTTCTGAAATTTACGTGTTTTAAAAATTGAAATCAAAATTTCCATGGTAACAGCTAGGCGCGTGTTGGGTGTTAATAATAACTATCAGTATAGAGTTACTTTCAGGGAAAGGTTGGGGTGTCTAAATTTTAAACGGAAGATGAATCATACTTTTAAATAAATAATTATATTTATGCTCTACTTTTGTATCGAGCACTATTTTTTAAAAATAATAACTAAAATACTAAGGGACTTTGAATTATTTACCTAACCAGTTCCTTCCTATTTTCTATATATTTTCACACACACACACACACACACACACACACACACACACACACACACACACACACACATATATATATATATATATATATATATATATATATATATATATACATACACTGCGTGCCAAATTATTATCGAGATAAGTATTTTTCTAATATTTCAAAAACCGTCCAATCAATTCACACAAAATTTTCACACAATGTTGGCAATACTGATCTGCGCAATCACTGGAATTTTCGTACTGATCTGCGCAATCTAAACAAACTGGCGCCATATTTGTTATCAGTGCGCAGATTTGAGCGTGCCAAATTATTAGAAAAGTGTAAGAATTTAGTGAAAAGATGGACCGTAAAAGCAGTTTAATTGACGCTGAAAAGAAAATTATAACCTCAGAACCCTCAAAAGGTAAATCTACCCTAGAAAATTTTAAAATGATAGAGAGGTGTCATCAAACAGTGAAAAAGTTCGCCGCCGACCCTACAAAAGTACGCAAAAGGGCCGATAAAGGCAAGCCGAGGGTTATTTCACGTCGTCTCATGTCACGACTTAAACGAGAGGCCACGAGGAAGCCTGGACTTACCAGTCAAGAGCTTTTCAGTAGCATTGGGGATCTAAAAGTACTCGGTGTCGGTATCTGAGGGAAATAGCAACATCAGTTAACCTATATCGAAGTCTCCGTTGTCAAGAAATCACATTCAAAATCAATTGAAATGGGCCGAGGACAATATGAAGATTGACTTCTCTAAAGTTTTGTTCACAGATGAAACTCGAGCAACACTTGATGGGCCAGATAGATGGTGCAAAGGCTGGGTAATGAACCGACAGAATCGCCATCAGCGTTTGAGACGCCAACAAGGCGGTGGAGGCATAATGATCTGGGGGTGGTATTATTGGAAACACATTAGTGGGCCCATGGAGAGTACGAGATGGTGTCAAAATGACTGCTGATGCATACATAGCGTTTATGAAGGAGCATCTTGAACCGTGGTTGAAAAGGCAAAGATTTGTCTTCAGAAAGGCCATTGTTTTTATGCAAGATAATGCTCCCTCACATGCTGCTCACAAGACTACTGAATATTTGAAACAGTTAGGCTTCGATGGACCTCGAAAAATGAAGTGGCCAGCAAATTCTCCGGATTTGAACCCAATCGAAAACCTTTGGAACATCATGAAGCGAAGCCTGTACGCCAAAGGACGACAATTCAGGAGCAACGCTGAGTTGTGGGAAGCAATTCTTGACATATCTCGCGGCATTACAGCAGATGACATCCTACAATTAACAAATTCTATGGATCATCGACTTCTTCAAGTAATTTCAAAACAGGGAAAGCACATTCCCTATTAATTTGTTTAAAACTGTGCCTTTGTTTGTAGCTGTTATTATTTGTTTGATTATCTTATTTATTAGATTCTTTTGATCATAAACATTCACGTGCAACATTAATAAACGTTTTGTTTGCTCAATTCTGGAAATTGTACTAAAACTTTCTAATAATTTGACACGCTCAAATCACCGCGCTGATAACAAATATGGCGCCAGTTTGTTTAGATTGTGCAGATCAGTACGAAAATTTCAGTGATTGCGTAGGTCAGTGTTGCCAACATTGTTTGGGCAGTTTTTGAAATATTAGAAAAAAAAGTTATCTTGATAATAATTTGGCACGCAGTGTATATTACTTACATAGGAAATTTGTACATAAGAAAGTTTTAAATCGTGGGATTTAATTTTGTGATTCCCTTTGTGTATGTGGTATTCTAGTATATGTAAGAGTAAAAGATGAAGGATGTTTTCTTTTCGTAGATGAGTTATTTGTATTGAATGAATGGGTCGGGAATGAGATAAGCTAGGTATAGGATAGTTAATGATTACCAGCATCAACCCAACTACCTCCAATTTTAGGCCATGTACCGCAATTATTGTACTTACATTAATAAATATAATCTATCTCTATCTATCTATTAAATGTCGGTCTGTTCATTATCTATCTATCTATCTATCTATCTATCTATTAAATGTCGGTCTGTTCATTATCTATCTATCTCTCTATCTATCTATCTATCTATCTATCCTCATTCTATTCATATCTATCTATCTATCTATCTATCTATCTAATCTCGGTCTATGCATTATCTATCTATCTCTCTATCTATCTATCTATCTATCTATCTATCTATCTATCTATCTATCTATCTATCCTCATTCTATTCATATCTATCTATCTATCTATCTATCTATCTATCTATCTATCTATCTAATCTCGGTCTATGCATTATCTATCTATCTCTCTATCTATCTATCTATCTATCCTCATTCTATTCATATCTATCTATCTATCTATCTATCTATCTATCTAATCTCGGTCTATGCATTATCTATCTATCTATCTATCTATCTATCTATCTATCTATCTATCTATCTATTAAATATGTCCAATCATATCTCCCTTTATCCCGCCGGTATATAAAATTGCACACGCCTTAAAAAAAAACGATGCAGATTTTTCTCTGCAGGCAGTATGATCTGGCTTGTGGCTTAGTAAATATTCTGAGAAAAAAATCCAGCATACTTTGCAACGTAGTAACGTTCATACCAGTGGTTTATCTTTCATTGAACTTTCGACATTGATGCATGCTTTCATACTGACGAACATATCCTGTACAAGCATGTGTCATATGACTAAATAACTCATATTTATCATTTGTTCAATTTGAAGAGTGTGGAATAGTTTACTTTTAAATGTCAGGAGAACTTTTGCGCTTGACGGACGTGATGCGTCTTTGGTGCTCCGATGTTGGTAACGTGAATCATATAAATGTTCCTACACCTGCAGTTCAGGTTCTGGACGGCCGCGTAGTAGAGATCCACATCTACGCCTTATAAAAGCAATAATGACAGACATCATGGCATACACAACATGGATCAGATTAAATATTATCCAGAATTGTCATCACAGATCATTGGGGATCGTTTACTTTCAGCAGGATAATGGGCGCGTGTGCTTTATCCAGGCTTCTACTTACGCACGTCTATAGTGATGTGGCGAAATTGTCTCTTGGAGATCAAATGGCTTTTTGGAGTATTTTGTGACGAGAAAAAGTTCTACTTGATGCCAGTGATGAGACTTTGATCTGTGCAGCGATATTTTTCATTCCAATGAACACAAACGCAATATCTGGCATCATGCTGTTCGCTACCCCCCTTATAAAACTTTCTCGATTTTTGATATTTATAAATGGAAAATTGAACAGTGTCTTATCGGTTAATAATATTGTTCAATTCATTCTTGAAACTGAAAGATGATGCGCTGTTCCATCTTAATAGTACACCCCCCCGACATCATGTCTATTTTGTTCTACGTGTTCTTCATGATGATCGATAAATTCCCTGGCTGCAACTATCACCAGAACATTTCTACACTGAACATTTAATGCAGTACAGAGTCAACTGTTAGAAGAGGCCTGGAATAATATATCGTAGGATGGTATTCGTTACCTGTACGATCGTATGCACACGAGAGTAGATGCCGGTGTTAACACACAATGAAGTGTATATATAATGCATAAATATGAAGTCTGAGTACAGATAAACACTTCATTGGGTATGTATTTACCTGTATATATAATAAATCAATGCAAGCCATCTGGCTTACGGCCATATCACGTCGAAACACAGGTACCCGTCCGATCACGCTTGGAGATGTCATGTGCTATAAGCTTGGATGTGCGGGTGGTGTAATGGATAATAGCTTGGTATTGTTAATCGGAGAGCAGAGTTTCAATTCTAATTCGCTTACGTACAAATACACTTGGGAAAGGTATGAATTCAAATCTTCTCCCCCAGATATGGGTTAATTAGTAAGACTTGTATCACTAAATCATTATTATCTACCACCCAAATTCTTAGAATCTGAAAATACTTTGTGGCTTTAAATAACCTGCAAAGGGTTGATAAACCGTAGAAAGCGAATCAATCAAACATATAAGACAGCTACATTAACTTTTTGCGTCAAATGATGCACATATTCGGCGAATTTGTTCTCTGTCTATCCTTAAATATACAGCCGTACCACAACCTTGAGTCAGATTTACATACCATGTAAGATTAATTAAGAAAACAAACAAAAACCAATAACTCTAAATTTGTTCATTATTCTTAGTGCATTAATTTCTATTGTAAATAATTGTTGTGGTAGGATCCACCTAATTTGCATAGTGGAGTACCGACCATATAAATATGGTTGGTACCGGGAAGAGAGGAGGAATCAAGAGATTCAACCAGAGACTCTGCCCGACTGCGACTCAGTCAACAGGAACGGTCTTACCAGGAATATACAAAAGACTATATGTAAATAGTGTGTACACTTTCTTGTTTCAATACATTTTGTTCTAAGTACATTTTGTGTTGTATTATTATTCCATGCATTAGTCAAGTTTCAACAATAATGTAAGAACTTTTTCTGGTACATTGAAATATTTGAGCTAAAGCCTGGTATACTGAAATTTTCATTAATGAACGCAGTAGATGTGATTAATATGAGAACCATTTTCGTTTACATTTAAAACAGCTCAGAAGGCTGATGACGTGAGGAGGATGCAAATAAACATCGAAATATTATTTACAGAAACCTTTTACGCTTCTCGTTAATCAAATATCGATTAGACATAGATATATTTTTCGAAATTACTTATATCATTTATTCAGTTATAATAGGCAAATTGTGTAGGTATTTGGGAGTTAAGCTTTATATGCAGATACTTAGGCGTATTCGCTCACGCATGTAGGAAAATATAAATGAACTCCTCTTTGATATGGTTATGTGAGCATGAGCGTCTTCAGTTCATTAAATGCGCATTTATAAACGTAGCATTATGTATATAAATATATATACACACACACACACACACACACACACACATATATATATATATATAAAGTTAATTTCTTTCTATTAGAAAAAATTGTCTTCATGAGATTCTGGAAATAAGAATATGTAAATATGAAAACAGGTACAGGCAGATTTTTTACATGTGGGTTGATTTATTATATATATATATATATATATATATATATATATATATATATATAATATGTATATTTCATATTTCTATTTAAAATATGCACAGCTGTTTTTTATATAATTGCTATACAATTTGTGTTTTTTGAGTTGTACATACTTGTATGTACGTCATATCATATATATATATATATATATATATATATATATATATATATATATATGGTTTGTATGTAGGTGTGTTTGTTGTGAAAGAGAGGGTAAGAGAAAGCTAGCTTAGAGGATCAAGGAAGAGGGATTGAAACGGAATTGCTTCCAGCAACCACTTACAGATTTCCAAATTGGAATGAGATAGATTCCAATTGCTTTTTCCGATTCTACAGAACGGAAGAAACTGATTTTTTTTATTGCTTATTCTCTTGGATTTTTTCTTTACTTTTCGGTAATTTTTTTTTATCTCTCTTTGTTTCTTTATTCCTTTAATTTGCTTTCTTTTTCGTCTTGTATTTTTTTCATTCATTCATCTTATATATATATATATATGTATATATATATATATATATATATATATCCGTCTTTTTCCCTGTTCTTTTGTTTTTCATTTTCCTATCGTTTCTCATTTTTGTTGATTTAACCTTTTTAAATTTCATTCATGAATTCTTAAACTCAGGCTTTCGTCTTTTTTTTTTCTTTCTGTTTTTATCTTTACATTTTTTTCTCAATTTCCGTTTCTTTTTCTTTTACCTTCGGTTCGCTTCTTTCTTCCTTCTCTGTCCGTTTTCATCTATTTTGACTTTCTTTCTCTGTCTATTCGTCAAGCAAACACATCATAATGTGACTTCAACAATGATACGATAAACGGTGAACAAAATTATTAAAACTTTCTCCCATGTATCAATGCATCTTTTCTTTTTATTTACATCAAACCATAACAACAATAACAAAGAAGGTTGAAAGAAAAGATTTAAAATAAACAAAAACAAAATTAAATAAATGAAAAATAGATGCGTTTGTTGTTTACGAAATTGAAAACAAAAGTAAGAATATAACATGTCAATTTGTAAATTAAGTTTTAAAGAAAGAATTAGCAACCTTCATTTCCGGAATTTTGAATTTTCCCCTCAAGCTAAATATCAACGATATATTTCAGCTTGTACGTTTTACTCTATACGTTCCAATATTACTCGATATTTAATAGTGTAGGCAACATGGACAGAAATTCAACCATCTTCGGCGTTTAGATTATCGGTCGACTGCCTCGTGGTTGAAGTAGTTGTGTATTCCTTATTCGTACCGATGTTGGAGTAGGGCTAATGGTAAGGTGGCTGTGATTTTTTTGAAATTACAACTCTTACTCAATTTCATCTCGATTCGTATTAAGCTAAGCTTATTAAATGATGCGCGGAAAGTGGGATCAGTGATCCGATTTCAAGTTAGTCTGTTGCATTTACTTTCGCACAAATGGTTTTGGGTGAAAGTCTGAAACCGTATCCATTTGTCTCCATCTATGGGTTAAATAACAGCCAATCTAAGAGAAGAGAAACTCTGAATTCCAAACCTTGGAGAAGGTAGCGGGAAACTCCACCACTACGACTTCAGTGTAAGACTTGAAATTAAAGAAACATCTTTGAGAAAAGAGATGGCATTAAAATGATAGAAAATAATGTTTATTCGGTATGGAGTACAAAGCGTGCTATAATTTATATGCTTCTTAAAACCTGCTTTTGTCCTGTGAATTATCTGTGATAAATTTTCAGATGACAACGTCTTAATTTAAATTGCCACGACCTATGGCACTGTTGCCAGTACAAAATATCAAGTTGTAAATTGCACCCATTTACGACATGCTTCTGACAAGTCAAAAAGGAAAGAAATGTATATTAGACAATTGTACAGCGCCAATCATTCAATCCACGAAAGCTCTGAGTGTCTGTTTAGCTGTAAGTTCAGAATTCAATTTTCCAGTTTTTACTTGTGTTCGAACGCTGACCGCTGGCATATGTGAGGAAATACGTACCTACCTTAGTCACGAAGCAAGCCTCAAAATTATTTACAAAGCTTGGCATAGGGTGGCACAAAATTTAAAGTATCAGTTCATCCCATAAGTTCTGTCCGAATTTTAACTTTTTGTTAAAATAAACGAAATTTAAAGAGTATTTTATAATGTCTAATGGAGCTGAACATTATTTTTATGCTTAGATGCATTTAAACTGCTCAAATTTTATTTCAGAGAACAATAAAATTAAATTTTGTTTGATTAAAACCCTGCTAACGTGTAAGTACCCAAGAATCATTTGAGGCACATAATGCTTTATGAGTTCAAGAAAGGAAACTCAGCAGCCGAAGCGGCTAGAAACATTCACTCAGTTTATGGAGAGAAATGTGTGAATAAAAGAACTTGCAGAAGATGGTTTGCAAAATTCAGAGGTGGAGATTTCACCCTTGAAGATGAAGATCGATCCGGACGTCCAGTTGAGTTTGATGAAAAGCTTCTTGAAGCATACCTTGAAGAAAATCCTGCTTTATCAATTGAGGAATTGGCAGTGGTTCTCAGTTCAAACCATACAACGGTTCATCGTCCTCTTCACCAACTTGGAAAAGTTACTAAACTTGGAAAATGGGTGCCTCATGAATTGTCTGAAAACAACCTCAAATCCCGAGTTGACATCTGCTCTTCTCTCCATTCTTGCCAACTTGTTTCACCTTTTTTGGATAGACTTATGACTGGCAACGAAAAATGGATCTTTTATCGAAATGTTAAGCGTCGTAGACAGTGGATTGGTAAAGGGGAAGGACCCCAGCCACAGCCGAGAAGGGAACTTCATGGGCAAAAGGTTCTTCTTTCAATCTGGTGGGATCGCCAAGGAATAATCCACTTTGAATTCTTACCACCTAATGCAACAATTAATGCTCAAATATACTGTCAGCTATTAGAGCGTTTGAACCAAGCTTTGAAGAAAAAAAGACCTGCTCTAGTGAATCGAAAAAGGGGTGATGTTTCATCAGGACAATGCGCGCACAACAATGTAAAAGTAGAAATGCTTCTGCAGCAGCAGCAATAAAAATGGAAAAGCGGCGTCGAAGGTACTCAAGCGCGACCGCAGCATTAGCAGAGAGGCAGGCAATATGAACATTGTTTACTTAAGGTTCGAAGTTCTGGATTCGAGGCTGTCCTATAGAACAACAACCTAGAAAATGAAAGCGGTTTTCGTGAATATAGTGGCATACTAATTGTGTCTTCAAGCCTTGGATACTCAGAACAAGACAAGATATCCCTTTACATGAACAGCTGGACGATATCAATGTACTCCTATAAATTTAAATAAAGGGCTTATTTGTAAAATTACGGAAGGTTACCCAGATTGGCAAACATCCGAAGAAACTCGGAGGTAAAAACGATCGAAACGTAATAGCAACAACAAAGATGAGGATATTAGTCAGGATATAAATAAGGATGACTTGTTATTTCGGGAATAAAAAAGAATGCTATAAGAATCTATAGATGACGTGTAAAATGAAAATATCGAAAGCAGACGTATTTTTAAAACTCTTATTTTCTTCAGTTATATTTTAATGTTTGACTTTTATTCTTTCCGTTTCAGAATTGTCTTATGGATTAGTCCTTGATACTATAATAGTATTTTGTTTATTAGTATTTCTTTTGAAGTTGTAGCTTTAAAGTGATGTTTCTTAGCATAGTATTGTAGATGAGAATATGGCTTCTATATTTGTTATAATGGTGTCAAACAATTCACATCATCATCGAATATTTTAAGTGATTCTCTCTCCAACTGCGTGAAACTTTCCATTACATTATATAATTCCCGCGTTCTCCTCCATTTTTTCCCCAGACTCAAGCTAGTTTCGATTTGTTGAGAGAATTCAGATTGAAGCCACGTTCGCCTGGTTCACTTCTCAAGTTTATCGGGGAAGATATTACATGTGTGAAGAGAACGTAAAAATTTAAGGTGACAAACGCTTGTACGAATAAAAAATAAATCTAGTATAATTTCAAAAGCGCCATGAAAATTTTGTGTACATAGTTCTCACTTAACACTTAGTCACACACTCACACATGCGACCATCCATAAATTGTGTGTCCTCTTCACGTTTTGAAGACTTGATGCAATGCAGGATTTAAAGAACCAGTAAGATGTCTAATCAAGATTGAACTCACAACATTAGTCACTTCTCAGATAGGGAGGTACATCTAAATCACCGCAGCCTAATTATGAAAAACATTTAAACTACAAATATTTTTTCACTATTTACATTATTCGGACTCTTGTCCTCATCTTTGTTGCCATATTTATCACAACGATTCGTTAAGGACACGTGTCACTGTGGTTAGATGGTTCGACCCAGTGATAGGACTCAAAGAACAATACCTGTTTAAGGCAGTGGAGAACTTGGAGATGGGAATTAACAGGAGATAACTGATAACTGACATCCATTAGACATGGCACGTGGAACTAGAACAGTCTACCCCAGTGAGCGAAATAAAGAGTTCAGTTCCACATACGAACCACCTGAAGAAGGCCGGAGCGTACAACGGCCGAAACGTTGTGATAAATATGGCAAAAAAGATGAGGACAATAGTCCGAATAATGTAAATAGTGTACATAATACCTCATCTCAGAAATATAGACAGATGCTGAAGGATCGGATAAATATAGTAACAAAGATGAGGACAATAGTCCGAATAATGTAAATAGCGTACATAATACCTCCTCTCAGAAATATAGACGTGTAAAATGAAAATATCGAAAGCGGACGTATTTTTAATTTATTTATATCCCAGAAAAATAAAGAAATATAGAACATACCCCGTCCTGGGTAAGACGATAAACTACATCCGGCAGCAAGACGTCTGATCAGGAGGTTTTGAGGAGCGTGGGACCACCTTTTAATAGCTGGTGTTCCCAGGTTCATTCTGACCCGGGGTGGTAGCACTTGTCAGGGTCCCACCTATGAGCAAATATTTAACCCTAACCCACAAAAAGATTCAAAACACTATGAAAGTATAAAAATAAGTTTTAATACCAGAAATACTTTTTTGGAAAAATTATTATCAGCAATACATTTTTGGTAAAAAACAGCAATAAAAATCTTGTCGTCATTAATTAATACATTGAGGTTGACAAGCCGTAAATCAAAACAAAGAAAAAAAACAAAAAACAAAAAAAACAAAAAACAAACAAATCATAGCATACCTACTTTTTCAATACGCTTGTGCGTTGAACATTAAACATAGAAGAAAAACGTTATCCTGTGAAAATAAAATGTTCTTTCCGGATAAGCGATTATGGCGCTCCACAACTTTCTTTACTTTAATACCTGTAATTTCTGTATTGTTTTGATTGTTCTTGGAAATGATAGTAGAATGCTTTTCTGTTGCCTTCTTCACAGTTTCGAAATCATAGTTGTTCTTCTCGAAGACTAGTTAACAACCAAGATTAGATTGTTTAGCCTATACTTTAATGCGTAGACCGAGAGAGATCCATAACTTCCTACAGGTTACGTGGTCGTGGGTCTGACAATAAACTACATCCGGCATCAAGGCCTCTGATCGGGAGGTTTCGAGGAGCATGAAATCACCTCTTAATTGATGTTTTACAGATACACCCTGGCTCGGGGTGATAGCACGTTTTTAGGGTCCCAGATATGGGCAAATAGTTAATTTCCAAACAGGCGTCAAAACACTATGAAATTATAAAAATAGATTTTTTATAGCAGAAATACCAGCAGTACATTTTTGAAAAAAGTTAATACAAATTCTATTCATACGAACCTATCGGCATTAAATAACATAT